CAATTCAACGGACTGAGAAAAAGCTCTATATTGAGGAGCATCTAGTATATAAAATATTTAAATATATGGTCGAATTACGCGCTCATAAAAAACACGTCGCGTTTTCGAGACAAATGTACAATAATAAACATATAGCAAAATGCCAGAGTTGATGGTAACCTGTTACAAGTAATGGCGTACCGGTAACGCGTTACTTTTTCCGGTAACGAAGTAATGTACGGAAATAATCCCTGGAGAAGGGATTATTTTTGTCATTCTTGTCCAGCTCGCTTGCACCTTTGCATTCAATTGCATTAAAATCAGAAGTGATCTACTCGTTACTTGTCCAAAACAGTAACGGGTAACGAACTTACGTTACTTCTTTGAAGCAACAGGTAACGCAGTTGTGTTAATCGTTACACCTTTTTTTTCCAAGTCCTGGAAAAATGCACTTAAATTTGTTTCATGTTTCTATACCTTACGTCCAGACGCACTAGCCGATGGAAGCAATGTGAAAGCGTCAAAAAGGCACTGACATGGCGTCCGTCATGTTTTTGTGACTGCTCTATTATATCTGAACCAATCATAAACAAAAAAAGCTCATTAACTCGCGCTTTTGTGGTTGCTTGATTGGTCCCATTAGATCGTAGTGTCCGCTGCGTCTGTGCCCCCCCCCCCTCCCCCTCCCCCCCCCCCCCTTCCACAGTAGAAAGAAAAAAAAACGATGTTAAAGTCAATTTATAAGTAAAAAGTAGCGCAAAAGTACGGCGCTTTGCTTTTAATCGGCAACGGTAACGCGTTCCTTTTATTTTGAGGTAACGAAGTCTGTAACGCCTTCCTTTATTTTATGAGTACCAAGTAACGTGTTCCCTTACTTTTTTTTCCGCCTAACGCCTACAACGCTAAGATAGTCGGTTCAAAAAATGAAACTGACGTTGAAAAATACCCATTGCGACCCCATTGAGCTATTATAACGCAATGGAGTTGCATGGTCAATTGTAAACCTATTTTTCTTGCTTCAGGAAAAAACACTTCATTCAAAATTTGGTCCTGTGTTGTCTTAGTTACGGGGTACATATAGGCGTAAAGTACGTAGTTTTATACCGAACACATTGTGGTATTCGCTTCGAAAACTATACTTAGCAATCATTGAAATGCTAACAATTAGCAAAATATTTTTTTAAAAAATTACCTTTTCGCTTTTAGAGGATATCTTTTATTTTTATAATTATGCTCGTTTGTTGCTTGAATACTATGCTATCATAACAGTTGAGTATACATTTTTAGACCGACCTTCTTTGTTAATTTTATTTTTTTCTCGAAAACTGGGCATTTGGCTATATGCTCAATATTGCACATTTATGTAAGAAACAAACGCAGTAAGGAAAGTTCTATCAAAATAAATTTTAGCGTACTATGTTTCCCTTACTTCTAATACATGTAAGCTCTAAGTCTTCATATGATAACGTGTTTTTAAATATGAAAGCTGAATTTCAGCTTTTTATGACATTTCTAACGCTTCTGGACCCTCCAAATGACTCAGAAATATGTGACAAATTATATTGGATAATTTAGAATAATATATTTGCCTAATGAAAATGGTGATTATTTCGCAGTCCCCTTTCAAACCTTTCATTAGTGTTTTTTTGTTTTTCTTACATTTTGGGGCCTGTTTTTCAGAAAATTCAGAGTTATAGCTATATGAAATATACATTAAAAAATTTACTTTATATCAAAAAGAAACTACTTTTTTTTAGACCGCATCTGCGAGGGTCGAAATTATGCCTGCTTCGTTTGGCGTGGAGGGACCCAATCAATGCCTGACTTCCCTTTGTTTCAGCTTAAGTCCAGACGGAGCCGCCGCTACGAGCTCATGGGACTAGTCAAGCAGTGTTAAAAGCGCAAGGTTCTCCCTGTGCATGATTTGTCGAGCGATGATAGAGCACGTACAGAAACATGACAAACACCATGATGGTGCCCTTTTGACGCTGCCTGTTTGGTCCGGTCAGCTCAGAGCGTTGGCTTCATCTCGATATAAGAGAACGCCAAGCATAATCACGTTATCATGAAGGCGGCTAAGAGAAATAGTGCCTCGAAATAATTGGGGGGATCGGTGGCCGAGTGGGCTAGCGCACACTTTAGCGCACACTAGCTCGGAGCACGTGGAGCGAAAGCTCGCGCTGCAGAACCCAGGGATCCTGGGTTCAATCCCCACCCCTGCCCGTTTCGATCTGGATGAGCATCGTACCGGCGTGCGGTCGTGTATCACTACTGCGTGGTGCACGTTAATGACCCCAGGCTAGCGGTTGTACTGCACTGGCTAAATTGCTCATCTACAGCTGGGAGACTCGTCGCCCCTGTGAGGCAGACCAAGTTCTAGGCTGTATAAACATACACACAACCCAATTTTGAAAATAATTGTGAACAATTTGTTTAGAAACCCTTTTCTTTTCAGCGCATATATGAAGAGTGTTTTGCCTATAAAAAGGTAGAAAAATGCTTTATACAAATCATTCGTAGTAACAAGGAAGCCCAAAAACCTTAAAGCGCTTAAATTATACCAAAATAGACTTTCGAAGGAACTAAAGTCTGCTACAACGAGATAGTTTAGCAATCACTTTATGTTTTCCGTAATGCAAATGAACACCACGTGGGAAAAGCTTAACAATGTTTTAAATCGTTCGCAAGTAGTAGCGAACAAATTGAAAAAACAAAATTATGCGAATGACATAGAATGAACAGAACGACCACTGACGAAGTCTTTTAAGTATCATTTTGGAAACTTACACAAATGCCTGGTGAAAGCCCTTCCTCGTATATTGAAAATCGAAATGCAAGCTGAACCTTTCTTCAATCTACTACAGACTCAGAAATGACGCAAACATTTTTACTGCAAAAAATTGTTGAAGCTCTGACCCTGATGACAAGCAAATAGGTCCGATGAAATATGCAATTGGTTTTATATCTCCCTGCTTGACGTGTATCTTTAGTCTGTATATGCAGGGAGGGGCAGTTACTACAAAAATACATATTGCAAGGGTGAACGTTTTGAACAAAAAGCGACATAAGAAGGATATGGGTAAATACAGGCCCATTTAATGTTTAACAATATACTCGAAAGGCCTAAAGAATGCTAGATTTGCATCAGGTAGTATTCGCAGGAGAGTTAGTATAATCACTCCATCACAGTTTGGTTTTTGCAAAAGACGATCAACGTTCTGTTGATCGTCTTTTCGCGGTTTGGCGAAAACCAAACCGCGATTGAGTGATTATGCTACCCTTTCTGAGAATATTAAGAGATGCGAATGAAGCATTTTTAGGCCTTTCGGGTATATTTTTAAACTTAGCAAAATATATTATTTATGTTCTAAAAGTGCACGTTCTCTGTACTTTTAGAAAAAAAAAGTAATATATTTTGCTGAGTTTCGATGATAAAACAATGGCACTTGGAATCTCTATCGACTTCAGCAAAATAGTTTATCACTTAACCACAATCTAATATTAAGAAAGCTAGAAATGTATTGCTTTCATGGACATACCTCAACATTAATTGCATCATATCTTGCCCATCGTACACAATTCGATCATAAAAACGGCAACTGCTATGATGTAAAGCGAATATTATCCGCAGTTCCACAGGAGAGTGTTTTGGAACCATTTCTGTTCAACTTATTTGTCAACGATATTGTAAACCTGAACAAAATATTAAATATACAATTTATGCCGATGATACGAGTTTATTATTTTTTTCTGGCAATTGCTCTCTCGAATTAGTAATTAGTGAAGATAATACTCTCGAAGACCTTGTCTTCGAGAGTATTATCGAAGACCTTGCGCGAGGACAGCGGAGCAGAGGTTGGTTGCACTATTTCTCCACGGGTTGCGGTGCCGTCGGTGCCGAGAAGAGCCCCCATTCCAAACCGAAATCTAAAACCCGTTGAAGTTATGCGGTTCTTCAGAAGGCCGTAAAATACTGCGCGTGCCATCTATCGCTCTGCAATTTGTTGATTTAGTGTTTTTCGGTGATGCTCTGCAAGATTCTAATCGAAACCCTCCCTTAAACTCAATATTAGAAAAATAATTACGCGAAAATAATTAACAGCTTAATTATCCTTCACTTTAAAAGTTTTCCTAGATAGGCCCTGGCCTAGGACCAAAACGAGACAAGCATTTTTGTTTCAGTGGGATGCGTAGTTTTCGTGATATAGAATTTGTCCGCCTTTCGTGAAACACCCTGCATGAATCGAGTGTGCGTGGCCTATAAATCATATGTGCGAAAAAATGATGAGAGTTTTCTTGAACTTTCGTCCCTAACATCAAGAGTGACAACCAAACCCACACAAAACACGGAGTACTGGAAGCTCGAGAATTACAAAACAACGTACGGTTACCAAATGTTGTGAAGTACACTTCCTAAATTACGCAACTATTTTTAAACACAGAACATCTATCTTACTAATGCATCACATTACTATTACGCGAGGGAGGCAGTGAAGTAAACGCTACAAGCGTATACGCGCACTGACAAAGATATGGAATGTCTATCAAAGACATGCACACGAACTTTTAACTTCATCTGAGCAGTCCGGTGAAGTTCATGATACGTGTCTACAATCGATTATCATCCAGGCTCGTTTCCCGAAAATAACTCGTGACCTCACGTTGGCTGTGTGAAGAACATGAAGGGGAAAACGCCGATAATCCCTCAAGAACTGTTTCGGTGTCGCTCTAATTGTTCCTTTATATTTTACTAGAAATAGCTTTGCCAACATAAGTAGAATTTTTGAGTCACTAAAGCGCCAGTCTTATTAATTTACAGCTATGATTAAACATAGTTCAGGATTGTAAATGATCGGACTTGTCTAATTCAAATATAAGTAATATTTTTCCTCTTCCTAGGGGTGCTTTGTTAAACCATGTTAATCGCCTACGTTTTATGGCTGTAAAAATGATAAATGGCGTTAACTGTGTGTGGATTTGTTCAAAGAATATTCTGATTTTTACATTCGTTTAATTTTCAGAGATTTTCTGGATACCATGAACAACATGTACGTACTTCCCACTACACATGCAGTTTGCTTCTTTTCGGGCTGCATCATGTGGCTACTGGTGGACATGCACAAAGCACGAGGTCTTTCAAAGGTATGACATCACTTCGTGAACGTCGTCAAACACTGTGTGAAAACAATTTTACTTACATCCGATTTAACTTCCCTACGAGATCTACACATACTTTTATTGGTATAAGCAGTATATGAATGTTCGTAGCACGACGGCTTTAACAATGATGAGTGCCTTAAAAAAGTATAAACCTGCTTTCGCACTTTAACAAACATCAACAAATTTCTATCTTGGAGTGTCTAATCCCTTCTGTATCAATCGAACAGCTGATATTCAATAAATACAATTTTTGTACGGATCCCGAAATTATAAATTATACCGGTCCGTCAGAGCAAATGGAACCCGGTTTTGTTTTTTCTTTAACGCATGAATGAACTATGCACTGCAGTAAACTGAAATTTCGTGCTAATACGACGCTAGCGGTTGTGATAAAATTCGAATATATGTGAACATAATGTTACCTGAATAAAAATAGTAATAATGAAGCGAACTTTTGTATGAGACGACGTGCACCTAAGCTTATATTCTTCGGTCCGAATAACGAAACCTTGTCGTCTGTAGCAAATATTTCAGTGAAAGACACTCATAAAAAACGCAATATTGATTTCTTTTTTTAGAAGTATTGAACATTTTTGAAAATTATTTTTGACGCAAATGCGATTACACAAAAAAATCGTATTTCCATGCACAGAAAATTTTACTATGTTTTCGTGTCATACGATTATAAATCTCTGATGTCACGTGGTTTCACAGGCACTGCAGGCCGCTTTCTGGTGTGCATCGGTGGCTCTTGGTTTGACCTGCGTGTTCATGAAGCACAGCTGGAACCGTGGAGAACAACCCTCGGGAGAGTGGGCGAAAATCCTGTTCGCATTTTCGGATAAGATTATGTGGTCGGTGTTCTTGAGTTGGATCACGTACGCTTGTGCAACGGCCAGAGGAGGTGAGGCGGGCTCTTGTCTTCTGCTTCTGTGTCTTCGAGTGAACTTCAAAAACTGAGAAGCGACCAAAAAAAAGCAAATCTGAGGCCTTCTTAAGACAGCAACTAGCCGTTTTAAGTCAAGAACACAGTTCAGTTTGAATAGGAGAGAGGACTCAGTTGTCATAAATTGAGTCAACCAGCCTTCTCAATATATATGACTTGTCTTTTTGGGTCTTATTTCAAAGCAAGGGTCTAAATTTTTATTCGGTGGGGCTATAAAAGGCAACTTTTTAGTCATTTATATTAGGCTAATTATCATCAGAGTAGCATCGCTCTCCACAGTAAATCCAAAAATTAATGCATTTAACCTGAGAGACAGGTAAGGATCTAATCTTGCCTTAAGAATGCGTAAAAATGGAGTGTATACGTTTGCGGAACTTACCCACTTCGTGTGTTGCATGTCTATGCCTTGCCTATAAAAGAAATAAACAAACACGTGTATTGAGGGCCTCATGAGGTCACAAATATTTTCTTGCGCGAATTAAAATTTGTTACGTTTTTTTGTTGCTTAATTTAAAGACAAACTCTTCCCTACCTGGTTATGGAATACCGTGCCCGTGGAACATCCCGCACAATTTCGTTATGTAGAACCCCAATCGCACAGGCTCCCAATTCTTGGCAGGCCATTGATAACGTGACGGGACATAGTAACTTTTGCATATCTGCTTATGCTGCAGATGGCGAGACATACACCCAATCGGGGACAGCGTGTGGTGGCAAAAAGCACGGGACATGAGATTCGGGGCGCCATGATTAAAGGGAACAGAGGAACGTTTGACAGCCCCCAACTCAGGTTCTTTCTCGCGATACATAACACCTTGTGCGACGACGTCGGTCGGCAAGCTTGAGCAGTTTTATAAAACTACCGAGAATTTTGGGTTGAACGACTGGGTTTCTATTGGGAAGCTAACGGAGTGGTGGAGCCTACACACAGAAAAACCCTCCTGCTGACTCCATGTGGAGCCAAATCATACGAAGTTGTACGCGCGCTGGTGGCCTCAAGAACACATGGAAAGCTTAGTTTCGACGAGCTTATGACGATACTGAGAAAGCTCTACGACCCACGGCCGTCGTAACTTTTCAGCAGGACAAAATTTCAGCAAAGAAATCAGCTTGCGTGAGAATCAATATCGAGCTACGTCCCAGCGTTAAAAAAGCTGGCCGCCAACTCCAGTTCTGGAGTACTGACGGTCACGCCAGCAGCGACCACTACTAGTACCAGAACCGATGGTTCCGCTGGCGAGGGACGGCCCGCTCCAGCACAGCTAGAAATAAATCCAAAATTGCTGCCTCTTGAGGTCATGTTAAGAGATCGATTTGTGTGTGGCCTGTGCGACAAACACTTTCAACAAAGGCTTTTTGCGGAAGTCAACTTAAACTTTCAAAAAGCGCATGACATCGCACTGCCAAGAAAAAGCGGTGCACAACGCCAAACAAATTTGAAAACCGAGAAGTCAGATATTCACGAAAATCTAAAAGGAAAAACAACGTTCAGAAAAAAAGAAAAAGGGGAGAAGAAACCTTTCGAATCAACAAAGTGTTATATGTGCAGGAAGAGCACATACCAGTGACCTGCAGACTTCACAACGTGAAATGCAACGTCTGCCACAATACGGGCAACATTGCGAAGGCCTGTTTTGCGAAGACAGGACGCAAGCGACATCCAGGCGCCACAGATAGTATGAGTAAGGAAGATCAAACATCTCATTGTGATGGTGAATCTTCTGGAACTTTGGTCGACTGATACGAGCTAGATGCTGTGCGAGCATCGAGCACACTACCGAAGTTCATGATCAGTCTCAAGATTAAAAACCGAGCAATGGAGTTTGAATTTGACTCGGGCGTGGCATGTACCCTCATCAGCGAGAACACATATCGTCAGATGTGGCCAGAACATCCGCCGAGGCTGAACCAAGACGACATGACCCTACATAACTTGTCAGGAGAAGGAGTGCGAGTGCTTCGCACAGCCAATGTCCATGTCCGACAAAAGTTTAAGGACTACATGCTGCCCCTGCTGTGGACGCGAGGAAGACGCTGCAGCCTACTAGGAAGGCACTGGTTTGATGCGCTAGAAATCCAAGTGGGCGGGATACATCACAAGACCAGAGAAGACCAAGGTGCTAAACACGTACGACAGAGTTTTTATGGCAGAATCACCAGGCACAATAGCCCACCGGTGCACCGGGAACTGCAAAAAGAGGCCAAGCCATATTTCCTCAAAGCAACCGGCGCCATTCGCAATCTGGACTGCAGGGAACGCAGAACTTCAAATGCTTCAAAGCCAAGACGTACTCGAACCAATTCAACACTTGGTGCGGGGTACGCCGGTTGTAGCCGTAAGGAAGAAAGACGGCTTCATCAGACTGTGTGGAGATTATCGTAGCACGGTCAACAAGGAAGCGAAGACGAATGTATACCCGGCGCAATTTTAAAACAATTTAGGGAGACAGTGCTGGCAGAAATTCCTGGAATTGGAGTCTGCTTAGACGACGAAATTGTCTGTGGGAAAACTCCATCGGAACATCTGTGAAGGCTGGATGGAGTTCTATTACGACTTTACCAAGCAGACGTCAAACTCAAGAGAGAAAAGTGCCGTTTTGCGGTTAAAGGGTGTGGGCACCCTGGCGGCTCCCCAGCCCAGTTGCCCGACTGCGAGGCAAGAGTGCCGAACTTTTCCCGCGCGGCGGTGACGTCAGGCCATCCACGCGCACATCGCGTGCGCCGCCTTGATAAGGCGCATCAGAGGCGGCGCACAGAGGGTCGCTGCCTGGACTCCGGCACCGCCGGTAGCAATGTTAATCGTCTTGTCCATGTCCAATTAAATGTAGTTTCTTGTTGTTGAAACCGTTGGCTCCGTGTTATTCCTCCGAGTCGGGTATGCAGCAAGGCAAACCGACCACAAGGGCAACTCCGCTTCATTTTTGGTTTTAAAAAAACAATGCAGTCCTCTTCAGTATCGCCTAGGAAGACCACACGTCAAATATTACGACGCAGTTCTGTCTAAATGTTTCTTAAACGGTCCGGCAAACTTTGCAACTCACCAAGTTGCCGAAATCGGCTGACTCGAGTGGGCGAATTCAGGCGCAACCAACAGCGCAGTCAAGGCTACGTCATGGACGGAGCCAATATTGAGCTAAACGCCATCTACATGGCCCCCTTTTGCTTGTTTTTACTTCTCCGTTCGAGCGTAGCGCGTGACGTCAGCAACGTTGCCTCTCGGCGCTCAGCGGTGTCCACGTGATTGACGTACGCGCCTGCGCAGCGCGCTTCTTGGGAGCAGACCAACCGCCCGCCGTGGTACCGCCGTTACCGCCGTCTTCCGCGTCACAACCACCGTCGTCGTCTCACCGTTTGTAATTATTGCCTCTCGGAGTTTCGTCCACACTATGGACACCACGTGCGCAGAGTCCCAGACTTATGCCGCAGTTGTGCAGACGTCGTCGGATGCCGTAGACACCAAAACGTGGCGAAGAGTACGGTGCAGACGACACTCGCGCCTGCTGCACGCCCGCCCGCCCCATCCCGCCCGTCGTTGGGCCGAGGATCACGTGACCTCTCGTACCACGTGATGGCCATGTACTTGGCGGCACGAGGCCAATGTTGCCGGACGGAGCCGAAGTTTCGGTTTCGATTTCCGTTCGTGTTTAAAATTAGAGCTAAACATATATATCCCAGTTTTCGCGAAGCAAAAGAGGTAATGTCTTTTACTAGGGCTGTTTAATTCGAAATCACTCATTATCCCGAAATCTTCGGAATTGAGCGGAGTTGCCCTTTAATATAGTAGGGTACCTGGGACATATCACTGACGCGGCAAGCATCCATTTAACTAATGAAAAATTGAAAGCAATCACCGAGATGCCACAGCCAATGAACATCACCACGTTGCAGTCATTCCTCAGGCTATTGAAATTTTATGATCAACTTAGAGCAAATTGAGAAACAATTGCAAAAGAGCTATATGCCCTCCTCGAAACCGACGTGCCGTGGATGTGGCACGAAAAACATCGAGAAGCTTTTCGACCGTTGAAGTAAGCCATCACACAGGACACGGTGTTGGCGCATTACGACGACAAGAAAGATTTTATCGTGTCCTGTGACGGATTACCATATGGCGTTGGAGCTGTCTTAGTACAGCTATATGAAGACCTAATTGAAGCACCCATCGTCTTCGTCAAAAGAGCCTTGGAAAAGGAAGAAACTAATCACAATTAAATCAAGGAAGGATAAGTGAAAAGACAGTGAGTTTGCAGGCGAGCTGGTGATAGCTAATCATGTCATATAACACCCGAGACTGTGGTGGAAGGAGTTGGAAACTTTTTTGTAGAAGGAACAGACACTAAAAAGGGACGTCTCAAACTCAGCCAACTGGTTTATTTCTCGACCATCGACCATCCACCACGAAGCCCTTCCCAACCAAACTCTACGCAGAAATCTCCTGTGTTAAAAACAGTTCCAAATGGAGACAACATACATGACACACAAAGAGATCAAAGCGCACGCACAGACAAAAGAGGCCTTATCTGAAGGACACATCGGGACATGGCAGTGACCTTGATAAAATTGTCGACGGCAGCACACATAAAACGGGGACACCGCAGGGCATCGCAGTGACCTTGAAAGAAAAGTGCCGAACAATACTGAACTGTAGCACCGAAACCACACGTACCCTTAAAAAAGAAACAAAAAAAAAAACAAGAAAATAATTGTTTTTGGGGAAACACATCTTGGTGACCTTTAAACCGCGGCGACGGACCCTAACTGCTGCATGCTGTCCCCCTAATCCACCTTTCTCCCTTTTCTTTTCCCTTCCCTTTTCTCGCGAATCGATATGTTCGTCTATAGTCTCAGAAAATGTTTGTAGTTGCTTCCAAGCTACATTGATGCTTGGCTTACGCGGTT